CCTGTTCCATTCATTTTTTTTCTCCCCAAGAGCCAGTTTAATGCTACTTCCCAATTCCCCTAGGTAGAATTGGTCAGTCCCTCCCCCTAGAAAGAACTGGTCAATTCCCCGCCCCCCCCCAGGTCCCAGGTAGAATTGGTTAATCTCTAACATCTTTTACTCATCTCTACAACAGCTTTCTTCACATTATCTATCAGTTACTTATTTGCATGTTTGTCTATTAGACTCTGAGCTCCTTGAAAGTGGAATGACTCCATTCATTCTTTTATTCCTATAAACAAAATGCTATAGCAGATCCTTCACAAATGTTTGGTAAGTTAATGTGTGAATGGATAGATGAACAAATGGTCCATTTTCCAGCCTTGTACTCTGATGAAATACAGGGTCAGGAGTGTGACTTATGCAAAACATGGCATTATCAGTAGGTGGAAATTTTCAGGGTAAATAGGACATTGAGTTTGCTTTTCACAGAGCTTACCCACATCTTATCCCCTTTAACCTTCCTTCCTTCTGAAGTGGCACATCAGGAATTGTCATCCTCACCACACAAATGTAGAAACTAAGGCTAAGGAAGCTGAAATATCCAAAGCTCTAACTATGATGTCTAGTTTAGGAAAGAATTCAGGCTTCACACTTTTTAAGTACCATTTTAATGGTTAGCTAGCTCTATACATAAAGGTAAATACATGGGCCTATCATTAAAAAACAAACAAACAAACAAACAGCTTTATTGAGGTATAATTGACATACAAAGAACTGCCCGTATTTAATGTATACAATTTGATGAGTTTGGACATATAAAAATACTCATGGTCCCATCACCACAATCAAGGTCATAGACATATCCAACACCTCTCAGAGTTTCCCTGTGACCTCCCCCCACCCCCCGCCCCCACCCACCCCGGGCTTTCTTCTGTGGTAAGAACATTTAACATGAGATCTGCCCTCTTACCAAATCTTGAAGGGCACAATACTGTATTGCCAACTCTAGGCACTAGGTTGTACAGCAAAGTTCTAGAATGTATTCATTCATCTAGCATCGCTGACACTTTACACCACTGAAGAACAACTCCCCATTTCCCCCAACTTCAGACCCATCCTCCCCATCTTGGACACACAGCAAACTGCAGAAGTTCCTGAAGACCACAGATGATATCACACAACTGAGCTGCTAGGATGACCAAAGAAAGGAAATCTGTATCTTGGCTAACGCGACAGTAGCCAAGTCTGAAGCTTACAATTCACAGAAGGAGAGCTGAAAGGGAGCTCAGAAGTCTCTGTCCACCAGACTTTACAGATGATAAAACTGAAGCCAGCAGAGTGAAGTGGCTAGCTCATGGCCACACAGCTGGTTAAGAATTAATCCCCAGTTCCAGTGCGAGTTTCATTACATCATGCAAAGACTATTTTTGCAGGAATGGGAAAAGAGTGAATAACTATCTCTGGTATCAAAGTTGAAAAGAGGCCTGGGAAAGTGAAGAAATACTGTGAGTGAATCTGATAGGAGAAAGAAAACAGTCAACTAGCTAAACTGAAGGAAGGGCTCTAAAATCTAGGCTGATACCTGAAAGATTTACTCAAACGTGTTCACAGTTAAAGGATAGTTTTCAGGAAAAATAAACTAGGGTGGGGTGAGAGCAACAGTCTAGAACTGTAACTTGGTGTTAACAGCTGTGAGCTGATGGGATTCTTTATTCTTTGCTGTTTGTGGCCTTGGGCAGTGCAATTGCTTTCTCTAGCTTCCTTCTCTGTGAAATGTAAATATCACTAGTCCTGCTTACTTCTTGAGGTTTTGCGAGAATTCAATGAAATAATGAATATGAAATGTAAAAAAAAATTAGGTTTTTATTCTACAAAGGCCTATACCAGTGGTCGGCAAACTGTGGCTCGCGAGCCAAATGCGGCTCTTTGGCCCCTTCAGTGTGGCTCTTCCACAAAATACTGACTTCTGTGCATGGGCCACGAAGTTTCAATCACACTGTACATGTGCGCCCGCACGTGGTATTTTGTGGAAGAGCCACACTGAAGTGGCCAAAGAGCCGCATGTGGTTGCAGCCACGGGTTTGCGACCACGGGCCTATACCAATAGTTTT